GCGGCAGCATGAGCGACCCGTGCGTGTAGTCAAAGCCAATGACTATCAATAAAGAGATTCAAGGATACTTCTCAACTCGCGAACTCCATCCAGCGTGCTACAGTTGCTCAGTCAGACTCTGGGGGCAAAAGGTTTCTACACCATCCGCTACAACAGCAGAGGCGTAGGTGGCTCTTCAGGCTGGAAATCATTCACCGGGTTGCAAGAAGGGCTAGATTTACAAGAGGTCGTTCAATGGGCTCTCTCGTATGTTGCAAATGTTCGTCACGTCCTCGTAGTGGTGAGCTCCCTGTTTCTATTGATATCTCATTGATTGGTACTTATATACACTTTTGACGATGCTGTCAGGGTTATTCACATGGAGCCCTTGTTGCCGCCCAACAACCAGTCCTTCCCAATCCCGTTCGGACATCACACATCCTCCTCTCCTACCCCCTAGATAAAAGAGCTCTCCTCACTCTCTTTCACTCAAGCGCACACGCCGCAGCTTTGAAATCGCTTTTACAATTGGAAGGTTCCAATGTCCTGATAGTCTATGGCGATCACGATGAATTTACGGCGAACGAAAGCTATAAAGCTTGGACAGAAGAATTGCGAGGTCACGTCGGGACGTCCGGAATGCTCGAAACTCGGCTTGTGCCAAACGGGTCACATTTTTGGAGAGATTATGACGCAGTCGAATTACGCCAGGCAGTAGAGACTTGGATAGACAACTTCACATCCAGTTCTTTTCTATGACAAGTAACGAAAGCATGAAAAGCAATGAATTGAAGCCCGATCTTGCAGAACTCGATTTCGTTCACATTGAAGAGGCCGTACAAGTAAAAATACATCATGGTATTACATCGTCTATCTCTTGTTGAATTTATTTCCGCATGTGATATGAATTGCTGGCAGCCCGAAACTTACGCAGCAAGCTTGCCCGTCAAGGCCGAGATCGGAGGAGAGAAGAAGTATTCGCCTCCCTTTGATACAACCCATTCCACTGGGAGCGTCATGGGCGTGGACTGTGCGTTCGGGTTCTGGCCGATTGTCACTCGTCCAGCTTTGTCGCCGCCGTTCTGACCAACTACAAGAACATTGAAGTTTTAGCAGTGAATTAAGAGAATAGCACATCACACTCACTTATGGGGTCAAAGCCAATCTCCTCTGTGGGGTTCGCGAGGGTCGGCTTCGGCGGGAAGTTGATGTTGTTCGCCCATGCTTTGAAAATCGTCCTTAGACGGGTCATCAGAAATGTAGATGACGAAACTTACTGTGCTGCAAGAACGAGAAGCCTTGGTTGATCGCGGACTGGTAGCAGACGAAGGCGAGACCGCGGTTGACGCCAGGCGCAGTCTTTCCTGCTGCCGCTTCCAAGAGAGTCACCTCGGGACCAAAGGCAATGCCTTGACGCATGATTTGGTGGGGGGCGACAGCAGCCCTAAAATCACGAGAATGAAGAACTGAGGAAGGAGAATGTAAAATGCTCTGACTTACTGAGGAAGGTCAGTTCGGGGGTTGGTCTTCCTGATGTGCGCAGAGAATGGGCATCGAGATTGATCGGTCGCCTAACGAGACATAAGTCAAGAGTGCGTTTGAAACATAATTAGTTGGCGTACGTCGCTGAAATCGAAATTGTTGCGGCGCTGGGGGTCAGCACCCAACGCCGGGTCGTCCTTGAGAGGCGTGATGTCGATAGGAGCACCTAACAAAAGTCAGATCATGGAAGCGAAAGGTTTATACGACGAAATGAATGTACCGCTCTTCCACCTTCCTACCAACCTCGCCCCGAGAAGCTCACTGCCCTCAGGACGTGTCAGGCCCGGGAGATCAAGTGGGTTGTCGTTGAGGAATTTATTGAACTCAGGAACTAATTGGTTAAGTTGACGATACCTGTAAATTTTGCGACATAGTACGTTTTGTCAAAGCTCGACGTACACGAAAAGGAGTACTTACGCAAGGAAAGACCCGTTCTTCGCCCAAGCCGGTCGTGTGACGGTGTCGCCGTTCTGTCCGAGGACAAGAACACCGGGGTCAACGGCCTGTTGGCCGGGCAAGAGACCAGTCAAGGTCTGGATGCCAGGGAGAGAAACGCCGTCCAGGAAACCCTACAGAAGATATCAATGAATCAGATATGGAAGAATACGCGAAATCCCGTACAAAGTGCTCATGACCCTTTTCTTTTCCAGGACGAACAAGGCCGTTGACGGTGAGCACTGCGTTGATCGTCTTTCCGAGAACGAGTTCGACCTTGTTCCTTTGCTCCTCAACTGTAAGGATAGAGTCTCCTGCGATCTATGAAATCATTAGTTTAGGTTAATGTATAGTACAATGCTAATAACTTACGAGAAGAATACCGTCGATCGCAGACTTGAACTGAGGGAGCCAGTCCGGGACGAAGTTGCCGCTCGAGTCGGTGGTACCGGTATCACCGAGATTCTGCGCATCTGCAAGCTGGCCTGCGGCGAAGTCAGCATCGCCCAAAGACTCGGTGACGCCGAGCTAGAGCATTTCATATGAGCATTTCGGATACAAATGCGATTAGAATGGATAAACAAACCTTCGTCAAGCCTTTCGCAGAGAAAGCGATGTTGGTACCGACAATCTTCAGCAGGCCAGGCGCGTTGCATTTCTTGTGATCGTCGATCTGCTTGCGAGCCGCCTGGACATCAGCGGTGGAGGTGATGAGCGGCTGGAGCTGCTTAAGAGCTTGCTTGAAGCCGGCAACATCCTGGATGGTGAAGAAGACAAAGTCCTCAGCGCGCTTGGGGAATCCGAGCCTAATGAAATGAATGATGATGAGCGATGTCTCAAGTGAGATGCCAACAAAATTGCTCACACGACGTCACCTACAGAATAAGGAATTAGCAGCTGCTGACCAGGGGGATGAGAGGGACGGAGGACTCACCCTGAAGATCCTTGAGGTCTTCGGGGGTGGGGAAGGTGGTCGGGGTGGGTAAAGGTTGTTGGGCCATCGTTGTCTACTAGCTTTGCAGTTGGAGGGGATACAAGAGCGATGATTTTACTTGCGTCGCAGTACCTTCATTTTATACCCGTTCGAAGGTGGGTTCTAGGTGGGAAATCCGACTTCTATTTGAGCTGGTGTATCAGTCACGGTGTATGCCAATGCTTGGTTGATAGAACTCTGGTTACAAAAGATCCACTTCTAGGGCTCGGCGGTGTAAACAGGGCGATGTGCAATGACGCTCACCCTGGATGACTTGAATTGCATATGAACTTGGTCCGAAGGAGCGGTAGAAGGAGATGCGCAGGCCCAGCCTGTCCGACGCTTCAGCACGTTGTCTAAGCAAGCAGGTGTTCCATTTGATATTCGCCTATTGACACAGTATATCGAAGATGCGTGGAACTCATTTCGCATACGCTGTTCTCGGGCACTACAAAGTGACTGGGTGACCTGGAAGGTAGAAGGCACGAAATCAGGTTCTCTTTGCGCAATGGAGTCTAGAGCGAGGTCGGACTTGAGCAAGGCATCGCAGTGAACGGTAATCTGAATGCCCAGAGCCATCGATGGACGAGGAGGAGAAAGGGACAATTTGTTCTTTGTATTGCACCTGTCCAGCGAGAGTTCACGCCCATCCACAGCGATCGCTCCAGTAATGGGAATTAAGGGCAATTCGAATGAGTCGGATTCGATGGTTGCACAATGGAGAAGCCAAGGAAGTGGATGAGAGACGAGGGTTGTGCGGTCCCGTCTATGCGATGCGCCAATGCGCCAGATCACGCTGAACAACTTGAGCGCCGCATACTACGCACGTCCAATCAAACGAGGGGCATTTGAACGCCAAGGGCCCGTTGAAAGGAATTGCGTTTGATACGAAGGACAGGTGCTCATACTGCTACAGCACCGATATCGCAGCGTGTTCCAGTCCACGCTCGAGCACCCACGCAGTCGGTGATGCTGAGAGTCCGCCCCGTTGATCGGATTCATATCTAGTGAGCGCGAATTGCTCTTACGGGGGTCAAAGCAGGGCTTTCGAATAGCAACTGCTCGTCAAAGAAGACGGCCATTCCGGTCCTGGAGAGAACAAAATAAACGACAGATCCGTTGATAATGGGAAGCACGCACGCATTGTTCATAATTACGCTATGCCATGTCGCCGTCTTCGAATGATAATAAAGATTTCCCCTTCTTCGCTTTCTTCTTCGACTTCTTCGATGTTTCTCCCGGCTGGCCTGAGTTCTCCCGCTCGTCATCACCTGCTGCAACTTTACGTTTCTTCGAAGGGCCTTTCGACGAAGCAAGTCCGCTTGAGAAAGAGAGGGAGTGATTTTGTGATTTCTTGGAGTCTGACTTCGCCTTCCCCTCCTTGTCGTCTTCTAGAGCCTCCTCCTTTGATTTCGAGGTGTCAAGATCCGTTCGCGTCAAAGGGGGGAGGCCCTTTTCTTTGAAGAATTATCAAATTAGTCGGCGAACACGGAAAGCGGAAACTTTTATCGTAGACATACGTTTCCGCCTTTCGTTCTCTGCCTCCAATTCAGTCAGATGCTTTCCCTCTTTCAGAACTACCACCTGAGGCTTTTCGTCGTCGTCATCCTCATCCGCGCTCCCCGGATCGTCGTCGGGTCTTCTGGGTGGTGTGGCCCTCCTGTGACCTGAGCCTGAGGACGATTCGGGCTCCCAACTGTCATAATCCTCCTCGTCCTCTCGGCCTGACCGTCCCGCCATTTGGTTCTTGATTCTTTGCAAGAACGCTGGCGTCGTCGAATTGTAGGCGAGCTGCGATTTGAATTGGTACGGGGTCGGTTGCTTCGACATCGTGAAGATTCTGAGTTCAGACTTGGAGATAGGTTCTGTTTCTTCGATACTTAGAGTGTTGAAAGTAGATGGAGGTTTACTTACCTTAATTTCTTTGAAATATGGATGTAAGCGTTAGAAGTCAACGAAAGTCCTCGTTTTACGATCGACAGTGACGAAAAGGCCGATCATTGAACAAAACGGGAACAATGCCATAAAGAGGCTGTGCCTATCTTATACGCAACAGATGCTTGGAAGTCAAGCCCTTGTAGCTTAGTGGTAGAGCGTTGCACTTGTATTCTTAGGATACGAAATGCAAAGGTCGCTAGTTCGACTCTGGTCGGGGGCATAATTTTTGCTTTTCCTTAGTTATTTTTTCCCATCTTTCTTCGTTTTTCGAATTGCAAGTGCCATTTCGAAGATTTCAAAACTCCGAAGACAGCGAGCAGACATGTGCGTATATCAGAACGAGCGCTAAAGCAATTTTGATTCCTCTATTTCCAAGTAACAATACTACAAGGTAAAGTCACAATCTACATCGTTCTAGTGGTATTTTTCTTTCTAATTGCATACATTACATCAGTGTAGGGAGGCTCCCAAAGAAGCAGAAAACTTCTTAGCAAACCTCTTGACCTCTCCACGTTCTCCCATCATCGTCAGTTTCAGGTCATTCCCGTGGTGACTGCTTCCAGCTTCGAATGGGGTGAGCTCATATCGACCAAACGCCCAATTCAAGATGTGTTGACCGGAAGTAGGGAACGTAACGAAGCCCTTGACTCGCCATACACTATCTTTCGAAAGCGTAGCGAGAGAAGTAGTCAAGAGAGCTTCGGAGAGGACTGGACCGTCCTGCGTCGTGTCGTGTTCATGATCATGGTGCTCGTGATCATGACAAGAGTGTGGATGCGCGCCTCTAAATACCGTTAGTGTTTCTACTTCGTCGTTGTGAGCACCGTCCTCAAAAAGCTTTGAGCCCGAGTCTTCTAGCTGGAAGAGCTTGGAGTCTAGACCGAAGATAAGATTGGGATCTACTCCTGCTTTGCCGTTGCACTTTATTTTGGGCGTGGAGTCGTTGAGGGTGTATAAGTGATCAAGAACGGTGTCGTAGTCTCGTTCGGAGAGGTGTTCCCATTTATTCTAGAGCAATTAGATCCGCGAAAGAAAGTTTGAGACGGTTTCTCCGAACTCACAATGAGAATGACATCCGAATAGGCGGCTTGCATCTTCGCTGTTTGGCTCGTGTCCTCGTACCCGGTAAAGTTCTCGGCATCGATGACGGTGACGATCGCATCGAGCTTAAACGCGTTGTTCGTCTCCCTCTCCAGTTCGCGAATCTGGAAAGCAAGCGTCGCGGGGAACGCGGATCCGCTGAATGCCGTTGCACATAAAAAAATGAAACTCGCAAAGTACCGAATACTCGGAAACTTACGAGGTTTCAACGAATATGCGGTCCGGGTTGTACTTTTCTGAAGCAGCGTTAGGAAGGAGTTCTACCGTATAAGAAAATTGCCAGCGGATGGAGGGTCTTACCCTTGATTTCCAGCAGAGCGTCCTTCATTCGGCCGACGAGCGTACAGCACCTAAATGAAAGTTGGGTTCGATCCAAAAAATTCAGGATCGAAGGGAAGATGAAACAAACATGCAGCCATTCAGTATCTCGTTCACCGAAGAGAGGTTCGATTGTTTTGCGAGCTGGCTGTCGACTCGAGGGAGAGTGAACTACTGATTGGGGAGAAAAATCAGAACTCACGTACCTTCAACATCGCCATACTCGTTCTTCAACATACATGTCTTGTAATCTTGCGGCAATTGGGGAAGCAAAGATAGGATAAGAGTTGTCTTTCCGGCGCCCAGGAATCCAGTGAAAACGGTAATCTGCGTCGTTTGCGCCATTTCGCAAAGAGGAAGAGTGAAAGCAAATTGAGTTTGCCTGCGCCCTTATGTAAACGGAAAGGAGTGTTTGCGCGTATTTGTGGCAAAGGGCCCCTGACTCCTCTCCTCGTTGTCGCAAGTCGGTCGAAGAAAACGTCGAGCTCATCGTTGACGGCGGCGACGATGACACACATTCTGCCGCAGCACCCCGACCTGGGGGCGGCCAAGCACTCGTCCATCTCGTCCGCGCTCGAGATGGAGCAGCAGCACGCCCAGCAGCGCGCTGCGCAACAGCAGCAGATGGAACAGCACCCTCAGTCTCCGCAAAACGGACACGACGTCGCCAACGCGGGCGCATCGTCGCGCAAACGCAAGAAGAACGCTGTCGACGGCGAAGAGAGCTTGTCGGCGAGCGAACCTCGGCGGCTGAGGCGGTCGCATGAAGCCTGTGCGCGGTGCAGGAGCAAGAAAATCAAGGCAAGTGCCGTCGGTTGCGACCGACAATTATTCGGCATTTCCCTGTAGCTGAAAGGCCTCCTCCTCCCCCGCAGTGCGACTCCAAGCATCCAAAGTGTACGGCCTGCGCAACGGCGGGCGTACAGTGCAACCAGGAGGACCGTCACAGGAAGACACTCACCCCGCGCGGCCATGTCGACAGGATCGAGCGACAGCTGGCCCAATGCGAGGCGCTGCTCAAGCGCCATTACCAGGGATTCACCCTCGACGAGCTCGACACCATCGTCGCTCGCGAGGGCGTCGAGGTTGAGTACCCTGTGCCAGGAGCAGCAGCTGATCAGTATCAGGCTGCATTCAGCCCAGGTCCATCGCAGTCGCATGCGCGCCAGGAAAATGGGCCTCCCCCGAAGCCGTACGGGTACCCACCGCCGCACATGTTGCCTCCTGGATATCCACCGCATATGCCTTTGCCTCCTGGATATCCGCCCCCTCCAGGCTATCCTATCGGGATCCCTTACACGCACTTGCACCCCGCCTTCCCAATGCCGCCGCCGCCGGCTCCTGCAGCGGACATTAAAGGGCAGGATCCTCAAGCGAATGATATGTCAAACGATCAGGTGAGGCGGCGTCTCCTTCTATCACTTACGCACGTTTCTCATGTTTTACAGTCTCTGGCAAAGAATTTCGGTGTCTCACCGCAAATCGTCAACGAGCTGAAATTGCAAGCCCCAGTTGCGAGCGCTGAGACTGAAGACTTGGCTGTCGGTTCAGGCGGTCTGTCCTCTGGCCGTGACCGAGATGTCACCGAAGAGACTCAACCTCGAGACTTAAGTATGTGGGTCAAGGCAGAAGTGCAATCTCCAACTCCAGGTTATTCCGATGGCTCGAAGGCGCGAAAGATCATGCTCTGGCTTCCGAAGAACAGGGAATACACAAATTACATCATCGACGTCTACTTCGAAAAGCTGAATCTGCATCGCCCGGTCTTCAACCGTCCCTTCTTCGAGCATATCGTCAACCAGTTGTATACCGGACAGCCGGTCACGCATGACCCTGGTTTCATATGCTCGATGTACATCGTTTTTGCGTTGGGTACTATGAGCGAACTGAACAGGGCGGCCGCGACCTCCAAGGAAGATATCTCAAGGAACCCCCTTGCGAAAAAGAAACTTCTACCGCAAGGTTGGCCGGAGTACGAGGAGTTCTTCAAGCGCGCCCTAACCGTTAAGCCGGACTTGCGTGTTACAACGTCGAGTTTGCAAGCATTGATCTTATTGCACTGGTACCTTTACACCGAGGTATGTCGTCCTTTTCCGAGTTCCGAAGGATTATTATTCACTCCGCCTTCTAGCGTCAACAACGATCTCTATGGCGCCTTGTGGGCAGTTTGGTCCGACTGGCCGTTGAACTCGGTCTGCACCACGATCCCTACGAGCAAGGCCAGACTTTCAACGAAGAAGAATGCCAGTTACGCATCCGTCTTTGGTCTATTGTGATGATCCATGACCGAGGAACGTCTATTCTGCTTGGCCGACCTCTTGCCATCTACCCCTCGGATTCGAACACGAAACAACCTTCGAGGAACAAAAACGGACAGCTCCCAGGATTTTCGGAGCATTTCTTGTACTCTGCGCCAGTTGCGGATATCCAGGCCGACATTGTCAACTCGCTGTACTCCCCAACGATGCGAGGCTCAGAGTCCATGATGCGTCATGCGACACGTATAATCAAGTCGATGGTGGAAATGAGGAAGCAACTCCCTGAATCGTACAAGTTCTACTTCGGAGGTACTGAAGAATGGTCTCCTGAACAGAAGAGACAGCTTGTCGAGGGCATAACGGAAGACCAAGGTCTCACGTTGCTGAAGATTGGTATCGCCCGCATACTGTTGCTGCGTGCGCTGTTCATGTCGAAGGAATTACCTTTCGCTCAGCGCTTCCGCGCACTTACTGATGGTCAGTGAAAAAAGAGAGAACATTGTTTTAAGATATTGATGGCAGTTTTGCAGCTATAGTGACTTCTCACAATGTCATCGCCGTCCACTCTCAGCTTATTAAATTCCCGGACATCGCGTTCTTCGTGTCGCCGATCCCTCTGCACATTGCGGCGATGGTTATTTTGTTTGGGCAGATGTCGGGCTGCGACACCCTTCCTCGTGAGGTCGCCGTCGAGGATATTTGGGCGGCTCTCGATATGCTCCCGCGTTTCCGTTGGCACTGGGAGAGGCGTGACATGGGTGGCGCCCATCCGCTCATCGAACGCGTGGCAGAGAAAGTACTCGATATCGAGCTGCCTCAGATCAAGACCAGCGTTTCTCAAGTGCTCATCCCAGAGGAAGACTGGGACAGCGGAAGCCCCGGCGCGTTGTTGTCCCCTACTCTGAGCAACGCGCAGGTTTCGTCGCCGACGCATACACAATCTCCATTCGCTGCCAACCACGGCCAGTACGGACCTCACGGCAGTAACGGTGCTTCGACGTCGGGGCAGGATGGAAGACAGCTCGCAGACGTTCCTCAAAGCTGGTTCTGGCCTATGGATCCCGAGAACCCAATCGGAATGCCCCAACAGCAGCAAACGCCCGTTGGTCAGGCTTCTGGGGCGCAGCCATACCAACCGATTGGGACGATTGGCTGTGTGCCTTCGGAGGCATCTTACATGTTAGAAGAAAAGGACCCTTCACTCTCAAGGGCGCAAGGCCAGCAGTGGGTCAACACTGCCGTGAGTGATGTTTTGATGTTTTTGTGTTTTCCTGTGACTAATTATTTTCCTTCCGCGCTTAGATCGATAACGACGGATGGCGTGCTCTGGCGCATTATCAGCCGCACAACTCTCAGCAGCAAGCACCGAGGGGTTGAAGAATGCCTATTGATGGACATGAGGCATAAGATATTACTCACCGTGACTTTCTGACCTTATGAATTTCGTTTTTTTTTGGCTCTCAGAAGGGTGAAGTGTTCGTCCTTCGTTCTGTATGCTTTGTCAGTTTGGTCTTCGCTCACCATTTTGCAACACCAGAATGGC